GTCTCCGTCGAAAGAGATCGACGTCTCCGCGATTTCACCCTCGACCCCGCGACGCGCGTTCTTCTCTCCAAACATTTATTTTTTCTTTTCTTTTTTTACCGGTTTTCCTCTGCCACGGTCCTCGTTGCCAGGCTTTAAGAGCTCTCGATCTCGCAGAAGGAAATTCGCGAGGAACGTTTCGCTCGATCGAAGCGAATCGACTCGCGGAATATCGTGGGTCATCATCGCTGGGCGGCTCCGCGAGGATACAAGCTCGTAAATAACGTTCGTTTCAATGTTAATCTGTTGCTCGAATCGGATCTAATAAGCACGGAGGCGACTGGCGGCGCGGCATAGACACCTCTCGCTAATCGCCTCGACCTACGACGGGGATAAACGAAGAATCGAAAAACGGGCCGAGGTAAAGAAACGAGCGAGATGGAGCGAAAGAGAAAGAAGGGAAAAGGGGCAAAGGAGGAGAGACGAGGGAGAAGAAGACGGGCCTCTCGGCATTGTTCGCGGCCGCTCGCTCGTGACTCGTGACTCTTGCGACCCGGATGACCCCTAGCCTCAATTACCTCGGACACATCCGCCCGTCTGCCCTCGCGCGCGCACCTCCCTTCGACTCTCTTCTTCGACATCCGTCCGAGTTTCGTTTCTTCGTACCTCCGCCTGTTTACCCGCTGCCTGTTTGCCCGCTTCTCGCATCCGTCCTCTTGGTCGCGTCGGTCCGACGATACCGCGGAATTTCCGTTTCATCGCGGGTCAATCGTTTCGCCACGGTAGACCCGAAACGCGTGGCTCTTCTCCGCTCCGGACACTGGTTCGCGACTCGAATAATTTCCTGAAACTGAGCTGAGCGAATATTTTAGTAGTACCAGTGAGCGCTGTTCTACGAATATTTCGATTAAAATGTTATATATCGATTATAAGTTACTCGTCGCGTTAAATATCGGACGAGGTTGTTCGACCAAGTATAGGCGAGACCTAGTTAACTAACTCCGCGGTCGGAGTTCGTCGACGTACCGGTCTCGCTAAACGCGATCAAAATTACAAAGTCTGTACGCTCCAGTAAACTAAATCAGTGAAATAGTCCCGGTGTTTCTTAAAATTCCATTAAAGGGTCGAAGATTGCCCTTCCGCGATTTCGAGATCGTCGAGCACGAGACGCGGACGCAAGGATGCTGCGGCGCTAAACGGCAGTTTAGTCGACCGGATTTCGGGTTAGGTCGGCTCGCTCGCCGAGAGGCTCGAACGTCTCGATAATTAGTCGAGTTATCGGTCTACCTGACGCTATCCCGCTTCCATCTACAAGTGTTCGGAATCCCAATAGTTCGTAGCGGCGTGTCGTCGTAAAGAGCTCGTCGCACGCCCTCCGTGACACGAGCGTAGCCACGCGTGTCCGCCGCGCCGGTAACTTTATCGCCTCGGATAAAGATCTTAAAGAGGTCGGCAAACGAACGGGGGCCGCGTTTCCTGGCGAACCCTTCGATTCTCTCGCATCGAGTCCCGTCGGAATCGCTGTGTTTCGCTCGATTCCTCCGCTTCCGCGCGCTTCGCTAATTTTCGCGTCGAACCTCGATCGCTCTCGTCCACGGACGATCGTTTCTTCGATAGCTATTCGCAAGGTTCGTTATCGCGTGCAACATCGTTCGAGATCGATACGGTCGCGGAACGTGGCATCGACGAACGAGCAGAGGAGAGAGCACGGATTAACGAGGGAAACTAATCCTCTCGAAAGATCCCGAGCGATCTCTCGCCGTGGCAAGATCCGCCCACCGAGCGCAACGAGGATCAACGCGTCCAGTCGGAGAAACTCTCGAGGTTAGAGTAACGAGAGTCCGTGGAATCCCGAGGTTAAAGGGCAAAGGCGCTCGATATCCGAGATCGTCGAGATACGCGTGTGCCGGTACTACCTTCGGGAGGGACATCCGCAACGACTCTCTCGCGAGTGCACGCTCGCTCGAGTACGGAACGGGATTCGGTCGAGCAGCGTAGCGAAAATATCCGAGTATGTTATGAAGACGTCAAAAGGGCCAGGAGTGGCAGTAAATTCGTGGGCCGCGAAAATGATCGTTAATTTGCGAGCTGGAAACGCTCGCTAACGACTAGGAGGACGCTCGTTCCGGAACTCTGGAGGTTCGCTCGGTTTCTAGGAAACTTTGACCGGGATGCCTAATTCGTGTCTGTTCCAGCGCAATCGTCGACTCGCGAATCACCGCCCTAAGCGGAGTATAATTGAGGTCGTTAAGGGCAGCAGGTTGTCGTTTCGTCTCGTGAAAACGGTCCGCCCTTCGTCGGAATATTCGCTTCTCGAACCGCGACGATTGAGTTTCCTCGAAAGTTAGTCGTTCGAGGCCACGAATCTGCGAGGATACGATCGCGAAATCGAATCGGGACAGGTGGTCGAGCGTTTGGCAACGCGCTGCCGCGCCGCGGGCAATTCGAAAGCCGCGCGAATTACAGGCTTACTCGTAGGCGAGATTACTCTGGAAAAAGAAGAGAAGCGATTTCGACGGCAAAATCGATCGTCCGAGAATCGATCGTCAACCTCGAAGTCGAGTCGCGAATTCTTTGTTCGCGATATCCCGAACCCCCCGATATTAAAAAGCGAAGATTTCGAGTCGCGAAGGGTGAGTCGGCAATCGGCGCGATCGAAAGAAACGGGGAAGGAAAGAGACGTTTCGCGGTCACGTGGCGAGATGCGGTGTTACCATAGCGACAAAAGCACCGTAAGCAGAGACAGGTCCGCGAGACGCGAGGGAAGAAGAAGGGTGGCGAGGGATAAAAGCGTGCACGGATGAGAGATAAACGTAACGTAACGTAACGTAACGTAATGTAACGTAACGCAACGAGGGAGGAGGCGTAGCTGGGATGTTGGCAAGTGGCGTTCCATTGTGCCACGACCAACCGACTCGGCCCAAACAATTTGTCGGCGCGTGCAAGACGAGCAGCCCCCTCGTGTCATCCCGCCTAGGCGAACGATCTCTTTCACGGGGTTGTTTGCGGACCCTGTGGGCGTGTACGTGTCATCGTACATGCGCGTCTCCGCTCTTTTATCTCTCGTCGTTCGCCGCGTACGTACCGAGGGGAACTTCTGCCCTCGGGCGTGAACCTGCAGCCGACTTTCGTCTTTTCTTCCGAGCAACCGCGGATACGCTTCTCTGGCACGGTGCATCGACGACTATCCCGCGCGCGACGAATCGCGAACCCCATTTTAATTGGCCGGACTCGTAGCGAACGTGGGAAACTACTTTATAGCCTCGCGCTCGATACTTGGAAGCAAAAGTATTCGTTTCGCGAGGCGCCGCGCCTTGACCCGAAAATATTTACGAATCTCGCGGCAATTTCCTCTCGATTTAATTCGTGGCTGGCCAATTTGATCCGCAGGGTTGACGCGTTAATTCGCGTGTACGCGAACGTGCCGCGACGAGACCCCGACAGAACAAACGAAAGGAAACGAAGAGGATGAAGAAAGGTAAACGAAAAAGAGAATAAAGAGCGAAAGGAAAGGATGGGAAGGGAATGGAAGGGAAAGGAAATAGCCTCGAGACAAAACGATTGCAACGCAATTAGCTTGATTGGAGGCATCGAGGCATCGACGCGGCACCATATCGAAACGTTAATTAGCACCTAACGATTTCGCGTGTGTACGGTGACGCAAGGTGTTCCTCGATTCAGCGCGATTACAGGGGCTGGCGCGGACCGTGGATGACTGTGCAACGCGCTCGTTATACGCGCGACCATGACTCTGCTGTTTGGGCGGCCCAGCGCTCCGCTCCGTTCTGCTCGACGCTCCGGCCACGCGTAATACGAGTTGTTTATGCGTCCTGAATGATTTCAGGCAATATCAATGGGAGAACGTCGGCCACGCTTCGAATCGGACTATACTTAGCCGTCGCGAATTCTGCGAACGCTCGAGACGAAGGCGGAGACCACGCGAGATCTCTTTTCTCGTTTCGATTTTGCCGGAAAATCGGTCGAACGGAAGGAGGGATCCGACAATTAGACGAACGGAAGTAGCGCCTCTGCGCGACGGCCGGGAGACCGCCCCTGAGAAATAACGAAAAAGTTAAGAAAGAGTATGCTCGTATAAGCGATAGGGATGACGAGGGGATAGAGAGAAAGAACCGACAGATGGCTCCCACGCCGAACGAACCGACTCGACGCGGCACCTTGATTTGTGGTCGAGCATTTTTCAAGCCATTTGGCTCGACCGCCTATAATTTCCGTCGGTGGCCGCGCGCTCCGGCCCTCGCGTGTTTTCCTGCCTTCTGTTTATTTTCTTAACGGCCGAAATAATAAGCTCGACTAAGCCTCGCTACGCCACCGAGTAACGGCCTGCCTACCTCTTTGCGCGTATTACGCGCTCGTGGAAATCGCTGCACTCGTCGTCCCGCCATCGCTCTCGCTGTCCGTCTTTCCGTTTTTCGTCTATTCGCGATCGTCGGGATTCGTCGCAGAAATTTGGACGTTTCGATCGCGACAGCTGTGTCGTAGCGTCGCGCGTGACACGCGACGAAAACGGCCACTCTGCGAAATTGTTTCGAAGCCGAGTCGCGTGCCGTTTTCTGTCGCCCAGCCTCTCTCGTGGTCCGTGCTAACGAAGTAGACGCGACGACTAATCGGTTCGATCTTTGGTGTTTTCCGAGGGGGCAATTTCGAACGAGCACGGAGTCAAGTGTCGGTCGCTCGTCGACGCTTGGACCGACACCCTCCGTTTCGCTGCCCCAACGCGACACGTGTCACGGGGTCGGATCAAAAGCGCATCCACTGGAAACGGACAAATTTCGATCGATCCGTCGCATTTACCCCGATTAGAGTCCTCGAGGAACCCGAACAAGAATTATTCGCGGCTAAATCCGGGACGAACGTCCGTCCTCGTTTCCGTCGTTTTCACCGGTTACGCCTTAAATAATTCATCGAGCCGAGAGCAAGCTTGTTGCGAGCATGGAAAGACGGTACTCTCGAGATCGTAAACATCGATACAGAGTATCCGGTCGGCGATTCAATTTGCGGAAGGGACGCGAAACCGCAGAGTCACGTATTTCGTATCGGATTAAGGTAGCCCTGAGTAGCCGCGACGCGTCCTCGTCCAACCACGCCGCGTTCCGCTCGCCGCTCGCGCGCTACACGCTGGAAGGGTCGAAATCTCGACCCGTCGCGTTGGATGCTAGCGCGGCATTATCTTGAATAGCGGTTCGATCGCCGCGATTGGTTCTAAACGCGAATCGACGTCGTTGCCAATAAAAACGGTGTCATCTGGGTCGGGACAAGATGGGACGGGACGGCACACGTGCCGGTCTGCCCATCCGAAACGTTCGAAACGCGTCGCGTCCGACGATATTTATTAGCCTCGCTTCGATTCTCGGGGATGACGCGAGGGTGGCGCGAACGAATTTAACGGGGGACGAGGTTAACCGGTTTAGAGGTTAGGACAAGTGTCGCGAATCGCGAGGGGGTGCGCCGCGTCAGCCCCCGACGGTCGAACGCGATCGCGGCAACGATATATCTTGATTTCGTGACCCTTCGCATGGGTATCAGGTTCCACAGAAATCGGGAAAGTCGGCCGTATTGGAAGAGCATGCGGTAATCCAAAGCCATGGGAACCGTTCGCCTAGCAGTTTCCTCGGTGGTCGCGTAACGCTGCCGCTAATCAGCCGAAATTACCACGCATCTGTAACGCGTTTCGGTCGTTAACGCGCCACTGCGCGGAGACGATTCCCGATCGGTTTTCGTGGGAAGGACCCTCCTTCTCTCGCCGTACTCTCCGAGCGAGTCGTCGTCGAAACGGCGATTCCGCACGGGTCCGATTCGAGTCTCGTTTCACGGTTCGAGCAGGAAACGCGGAAAAACTTTGGCCGCCTGGTCGAGCGAAGGGACAACCCCCGG